TTAAAAAAATGAGCACTTTTTCGGCGCCGCCCCCCATCCAAAAGATACATCAGGGGGTTGCCAGAAGGGGGATGTGCCCCCTTCTGTAAGGGGGGTTTGAAGGGGGGCAGAGTCCCCCTCATCGCCAAGAAAATTTTGGACTTGTGAGAGGCTAAAAATGACCCCAGGTCGATCATAATGTAACGTGTAACCAATGCTGAAAAGCCTTTGACTCTATCTCAATCCATTGAGAAGTTGCAGCACTTTGAAATAAATTTTGATGGAAAAAATCGAGGCAAAATAGTGATTTTTGGCAATTTTGAGATGTCCCCTCGTTGCCATGGTAACAGGAAATTTAAGACTGAGCATGTCGTTACAAAGGCAATGGTCCAGTCAACATTTGTGCCAAGTTTGATTAGTATTGAAGCATTTTTCATAGTTTCATAGCAGTTTGAACTTGTAACAGGAGGCTTTTCAGTGAAAACGGCCATTTTTCACAATATGCTCATGGGGGAAAGGGTTAACTAAAAAAATTATAAATGTTACAAAACAATAATTTTTCACCAAAATTATGTGAAAGACCACATGTTAACATGGAAACACTAGTTTTTAGGTGATTCTAAAGTTTTTCATCATTTTTTGTTAACCCTTTACCACATATATACGCGAAACAACGCACTTTCGACCCCCCCCCCTTTTTAGGCCTCAAATAGTGAAAAAATGTCCTATTTAGGCCCCAAACAAATGTTTTCGTTTGAGAAATGTTGCTTAAAAAAATGAGCATTTTTCGGCGCCGCCCCCCATCCAAAAGATACATCAGGGGGTTGCCAGAAGGGGGATGTGCCCCCTTCTGTAAGGGGGGTTTGAAGGGGGGCAGAGTCCCCCTCATCGCCAAGAAAATTTTGGACTTGTGAGAGGCTAAAAATGACCCCAGGTCGATCATAATGTAACGTGTAACCAATGCTGAAAAGCCTTTGACTCTATCTCAATCCATTGAGAAGTTGCAGCACTTTGAAATAAATTTTGATGGAAAAAATCGAGGCAAAATAGTGATTTTTGGCAATTTTGAGATGTCCCCTCGTTGCCATGGTAACAGGAAATTTAAGACTGAGCATGTCGTTACAAAGGCAATGGTCCAGTCAACATTTGTGCCAAGTTTGATTAGTATTGAAGCATTTTTCATAGTTTCATAGCAGTTTGAACTTGTAACAGGAGGCTTTTCAGTGAAAACGGCCATTTTTCACAATATGCTCATGGGGGAAAGGGTTAACTAAAAAAATTATAAATGTTACAAAACAACAATTTTTCACCAAAATTATGTGAAAGACCACATGTTAACATGGAAACACTAGTTTTTAGGTGATTCTAAAGTTTTTCATCATTTTTTGTTAACCCTTTACCACATATATACGCGAAACAACGCACTTTCGACCCCCCCCCCTTTTTAGGCCTCAAATAGTGAAAAAATGTCCTATTTAGGCCCCAAACAAATGTTTTCGTTTGAGAAATGTTGCTTAAAAAAATGAGCATTTTTCGGCGCCGCCCCCCATCCAAAAGATACATCAGGGGGTTGCCAGAAGGGGGATGTGCCCCCTTCTGTAAGGGGGGTTTGAAGGGGGGCAGAGTCCCCCTCATCGCCAAGAAAATTTTGGACTTGTGAGAGGCTAAAAATGACCCCAGGTCGATCATAATGTAACGTGTAACCAATGCTGAAAAGCCTTTGACTCTATCTCAATCCATTGAGAAGTTGCAGCACTTTGAAATAAATTTTGATGGAAAAAATCGAGGCAAAATAGTGATTTTTGGCAATTTTGAGATGTCCCCTCGTTGCCATGGTAACAGGAAATTTAAGACTGAGCATGTCGTTACAAAGGCAATGGTCCAGTCAACATTTGTGCCAAGTTTGATTAGTATTGAAGCATTTTTCATAGTTTCATAGCAGTTTGAACTTGTAACAGGAGGCTTTTCAGTGAAAACGGCCATTTTTCACAATATGCTCATGGGGGAAAGGGTTAACTAAAAAAATTATAAATGTTACAAAACAACAATTTTTCACCAAAATTATGTGAAAGACCACATGTTAACATGGAAACACTAGTTTTTAGGTGATTCTAAAGTTTTTCATCATTTTTTGTTAACCCTTTACCACATATATACGCGAAACAACGCACTTTCGACCCCCCCCCCTTTTTAGGCCTCAAATAGTGAAAAAATGTCCTATTTAGGCCCCAAACAAATGTTTTCGTTTGAGAAATGTTGCTTAAAAAAATGAGCACTTTTTCGGCGCCGCCCCCCATCCAAAAGATACATCAGGGGGTTGCCAGAAGGGGGATGTGCCCCCTTCTGTAAGGGGGGTTTGAAGGGGGGCAGAGTCCCCCTCATCGCCAAGAAAATTTTGGACTTGTGAGAGGCTAAAAATGACCCCAGGTCGATCATAATGTAACGTGTAACCAATGCTGAAAAGCCTTTGACTCTATCTCAATCCATTGAGAAGTTGCAGCACTTTGAAATAAATTTTGATGGAAAAAATCGAGGCAAAATAGTGATTTTTGGCAATTTTGAGATGTCCCCTCGTTGCCATGGTAACAGGAAATTTAAGACTGAGCATGTCGTTACAAAGGCAATGGTCCAGTCAACATTTGTGCCAAGTTTGATTAGTATTGAAGCATTTTTCATAGTTTCATAGCAGTTTGAACTTGTAACAGGAGGCTTTTCAGTGAAAACGGCCATTTTTCACAATATGCTCATGGGGGAAAGGGTTAACTAAAAAAATTATAAATGTTACAAAACAACAATTTTTCACCAAAATTATGTGAAAGACCACATGTTAACATGGAAACACTAGTTTTTAGGTGATTCTAAAGTTTTTCATCATTTTTTGTTAACCCTTTACCACATATATACGCGAAACAACGCACTTTCGACCCCCCCCCTTTTTAGGCCTCAAATAGTGAAAAAATGTCCTATTTAGGCCCCAAACAAATGTTTTCGTTTGAGAAATGTTGCTTAAAAAAATGAGCATTTTTCGGCGCCGCCCCCCATCCAAAAGATACATCAGGGGGTTGCCAGAAGGGGGATGTGCCCCCTTCTGTAAGGGGGGTTTGAAGGGGGCAGAGTCCCCCTCATCGCCAAGAAAATTTTGGACTTGTGAGAGGCTAAAAATGACCCCAGGTCGATCATAATGTAACGTGTAACCAATGCTGAAAAGCCTTTGACTCTATCTCAATCCATTGAGAAGTTGCAGCACTTTGAAATAAATTTTGATGGAAAAAATCGAGGCAAAATAGTGATTTTTGGCAATTTTGAGATGTCCCCTCGTTGCCATGGTAACAGGAAATTTAAGACTGAGCATGTCGTTACAAAGGCAATGGTCCAGTCAACATTTGTGCCAAGTTTGATTAGTATTGAAGCATTTTTCATAGTTTCATAGCAGTTTGAACTTGTAACAGGAGGCTTTTCAGTGAAAACGGCCATTTTTCACAATATGCTCATGGGGGAAAGGGTTAAAACACATTTCGGTATAATATCACGCCTGTGCCACACATATTTTCTAAATCGCCTGCCCCCTTGTAGGGCAGCAGTTTTTGCTTCGACATAACGCAGATCTGACCATGCATTACGATGAAGTAGCATTGTCCAAAAGCGCTTGTATAATTCCTTGCGTAAGCTGCTATTCCTTGAGTTGGGAGGGCTATTTTCAGATTCCCAACAAAGTTGCCTGTTCCTTTCATCTGTTATACATGGCCTACACAGACAGTAAATACACTCTTCTTGGTCATGATCTTGTTGGATCCGAAAGTTTGTCACATTGCTATCATTTTCATCTTCTCTACAAGTTTGAGTTGACACTTCTGAACTTATGTTTTGTCTTTGAATTTCCCTGTAGTCCCAGTCATTATAATTAAACAGTTGATTAATTGTCTCTAATTGCTCTGGTAATAATTCAAGTGTTACCCTGATAGTTTCCTCAGCCATTGAACAAAGTATCCAAGTCCAAATCACTATTAGCACACCAATAATGTATATACATGTAATGTTATAATTTAGATATATATCAGAATGATCTTTCTCTGCAAACTGATTATTGACACACACTGCACAAGTACGTAGCATGAAACATGTGTTTCTCATTTGCACTATAGATAAAATCAATGTTATTACTTTATGATCAAGTGGCGAGGTATTGGTCAGTTCTAACACAAAATTGGAATAGTCTATCTAGTGTAATAGGTAAAGTATGTAATCTAAAGAAAAAGTGAAATAAATGCATTATTATTTAGTATATAATTCGACTCTGTTCATGTACACAGTCTAAATTACAATTGAAACACATCTAAGGTATAATACCTTGAATTTTGTCAATGCCATAATTTGATTAAAATTAATATATTGCCATCTTCCTCACCCTAGATACAGAAGGACTCCCCCAACTAATTAATTACCTAAGATATATACCAAATCCCTATCATAACACTTCAACTCTTTGTGACTAAATATCAAAATAAAAAGGAATATTATACACGTATACAAGGTTGATCATTGGAATTATTGAACATGAATAGAAGAAGACCACCTAGTTTTTAAAATTGAAAATACCTGGTGAATCTGACAAAAAACAGGAATTTATGCAAAAAATGCAACATGTAAGGGACAGATTGACAAGATCATTAAACAGAGCAGTCAACAATGGTGATATTTTAGATACTGTTCTCAATTATTGGATTGACAGTCATGATCCCATTGAGAAAGACGACTCAACAACTACATCTTTTGCACAAGTGGACAGAAAGGACACTGAAGATAGCCTATTTGTGACGGCATCAACATCGTTGCAACAGCTGGTGACAATATCAGAAAATCATGCTAGGTTATGTAGACATAAACAGAAAATTGTAAAAACTGTGTACCGTGGACATGTTGTGGTAAATACATTACAGTGCGATAATGCAGAGAACCCACACATTACCAAGTGGTCGTCGTGACCCTACCTGCCAAATAATGAATTTCTTATCAACCACAGAATGCATCATGCAATAACATGTAGTGGAATGCTGCCTGTTCACTACACAAGGTTTGCTGATACAGCAAATATTGGTAGTATAACAAAACCAAAGAGACGAAACATATCAAAGGTCTTCAATCAAAGTGTCAATGAGGCATATGAATCATCAATTGATGAAGCTTTACTTGAGGAAATCGCCTGGTATGAAGACCTCGATGGCATTGACATCATGACTGACGCTCGCATGGTTGGAGAAAAAAATGCCAAAGACAGCAGCATCGTTGCGCTTGGTGAAAAATCACACAAAGTCCTTCAATGTGTGACTGTAACAAAAAGTCTGATGATATTGTGTCACAGAGACATGAGAAAGTTGGAACTGAAAAAGCATATGAATACTTTGATTCCAAAGAAGTAACTGTGAATGTGCATACACACGACAGGAACATGTCCATTGATAAGATGGTGAAAGACAGGCCTGATACTCTGAACCAGAATGACTCATGACATGGAGTGAAATCTGTGAAGAAAGCAATGAAAGCGGTATCTTCTGGACCAAAAACAAGCAAGGGAATACTTGGTCGGAGCAGTTGGTAGACAAGGTTGAACCAATTGCCACTCATTTTCACTGGGCAATCAGAAACTGCGCGAGCAATCCGGAAAAATCTGAAGAAACTTCTGAAGAATATTACCTCACATTTATAAAAATGAGCACAACGGTTGTCACTTAACATCCAGATGCAAAAAAAGATCCTAACTATGAACCTTCAAGGACAGTCATTACTGACCCAAAAGCAAAAAAAATGTTACAGACTGTCATTGAAAAGTCGGTGATTTTATAAATCTCCCCAAGACTATATACTGGCTAGGGACCACATCAAACGTGGAAATCTTTCAATAATGTGATGAACATCTTCCAGGACAAGAGGATTGCATTCAGTGATGACACATATCAAGTCCGGTCAAATGCTAAGTGTTCTGCACTGGAATCACAATGTTGACCGGGATCATACATCAGTATGGAATCCAAAAAGATCCACGAGCACCACGCAGGCAACGTGGTAAAAAAGAATTACAAGCCTTACAACTACAACTACAGAGACCAAATCTGGAATAAAATATATGGATACTATCTACCGGCCGCGCAGAGTAAGACAACAACATAGGCAATAAATAAAACAATATACATTGTATTTAAAAACTAAATGGATCATAAGTGATTTGTACATATTATTGTGAAAATAACGATAGGTTTGTGTACACTGTTTCCTAATAGAATTCATTGAAAGTGAAAATGAAACAAACATTTAATATTTTTAACTTTACTTTTCATAACCATAATTTAGTTCACCAGAATTCAAAAAAAATAAGTTTTGTTTCCCAAAAAAATAAAAGAGTCAAGTGGACAAACAGATAAATGTAAGTTACATTTTTTCTATATACAAGGCATTTCTAAACAATTAGTATTTACTGTTTGTATATACTGACTTTCACCGATTTCATAAATTATACACTTCATTGTAAAAATATGTAATTGCAATATACATCCTGACAGCACTGCTATTACCTTTTCATCAAATTGCAAAATCATTACCCCCCAATAAATACACAACTTCTTTATCTCTCCTGAATGCTGAACTCTCCTATACTATTGCAGACCACATGTTTATATTTACAAGCATGCTGACCTCAGGTCATGATAATAAAACCCCGCCTCTTGTACCTAATATGCTTAATGGCCATCCGTACGGATATCTGAGTTCACATTCCCCGGCCTTTAAGTGTAATGTGACTTTTTTTCTTTGATTTCACTTAAGCCTTTGTCGAAATAAACACGCTTGCTGGAGAAATATGTTATTATTGAAAATGTGACAAAATGGTAAATTGGTAAAATTACGCTTAAAGTTGTCTTAGATAAAAAAACAATATATAACAACACTGAAAATAAGTTGTATGTTTGTGTTTACTTTATATTTTATATGTATACAATTATCATTGATCACAAATACATGTATTTATATGTAAATATTTTTGTTTTTTCATGTTATTCTATATTATTCTTCAATTAAGCAGCACGCATACAATGTGATATTGGATAACAAGCAACGTGACAGTGTCCGTGTCCGCTATGGCGGGAAGATATTGGGAAACGCGTTTAACAGTCTAGTTGAAATCAATTGATCATAGGAATGTAAATTGATTTCTTAGAAAACTTCTGTCATGTAAGCTGTTAAAGCATACAAAACGTACATATATCTGATATTATATTTAATAGAGGAAATATTTATATGTTCATTTCTCCTATTGTGAGAATAAAGAAATAGTGGTTGGTGAGGGTGAGGCAGGGATAGAAACAGAATAAAGGTGATTGGGAGGAAATAGAGGTGTTCGAAACTCAATCAAAAGACAAGGACAGAAGATGAAGATAGAAAGAGAAGCAAAAAGAACGAGGATGGGGGCGCAGAGACTGGTGGTAAAATTGAAAGCTTAAACAATAAAATTATTATTAGATTAGTTTCTTTGTGTCATCTTAATATAGTATTAAACTCACTCACTCACTCACTCACTCACTCACTCACTCACTCACTCACTCACTCACTCACTCACTCACTCACTCACTCACTCATCTCACTCACTCACTTATACTCACTCACTCACTTATACTCACTCATTCAATCACTCACTCACTCACTCACTCACTAAACCGAAAAAAATTACGCGGGTATGATGAAAGTACAACATTCAAGTCAAAAGAATTCGGTCCGATTTTTTTATTCGGGTCAACAATCTATATCAATTGATCTTCAGTCAATTTAATGATGTACGAAACAGACGTATAAGACTAAAGTGGGCGTTTAATTACCCTCAGAGATACTAAACATTGCCAGTGATGTGTTCGTAAAAACATAAATCTCCCAACATATATGTAAATAAACCAATTGTCAAGTTCATTTGAAGATAAATAATTATGTCTTTAGAAAAATACTACATGCATTATATATTTTATATCTTAACTGTAGTAAAAAAATACTATAACCCATATTTGAACACTTTATATTACGTTTAGAATGCAAGTATACACACGTTCAAATAAAAATAAATTAATTTAAACCCAAGGGTAGAATTATTTAGGAACGTTTTTTATACAGATGGCATACAGACAAAGAAAGGAATTCAAAATATTCAGATAAATTATAAACGTGTCTTCAAAATCAATATAGTCAACACTTATAAGTATGTTAATATACAGTCCTTTGTCCGTTATTGACGTAGCAGAGAAGAAAATTGGAATACTTTATCTATCTAAAGTTGGATATTGCTATCCTTGTATATGAAATTTGACACTAATTCCCACTTTAAATATTCTAAAATAATAAGTTCCGCAAATAGTTTTTTCGATTTTGATAGAATGGAATAATAGTCCGCATAAAAGGCTTTACAATTACCGCAATATATTGTATATAGCCATTGCCAGTTGACGTTCATTAAACAATTTTACTTTTTTTCATATGAATATCTTATTGTCAATATTCAGATGTGATATAGCGGTCATACTTTTAATGTTTCAACTTGGATATCATGGGAGAAAATGTATATTGATATTAAATAGAGAAACAAAACAAAACAAAACGAAATAAACACGGAATCTGTTCAGAATGCACAAGATGGCAGACTTGAAAATGTTACTTGTCGGTTTGATTGAGCATGTTCATGACAAGGACTTGAAATTGCAAGCTACGAATCACACCCAATCCTTCCACTGACGTAAGCAGCACTTTGGGTCAAATAAAATAATTGTCGATGTGTTCATCTGGTGGTTATCAATGTTTCTACAATGTGACTAGTTCGTAGCATTCCAGGAAAATTGGGTATCATACCCAAGTAACAAGCAAAACTAAATAAAATTCAATTTTTATAAGGATAAAAGGTTATAAAGCCTTCATGTCACATGTAATCCGCCAAAAGACAGAATTAAAAAAATCAAAACACATTCTAAGAATTGTCAGACAATATCAGAGGAGAAATACTAAAATCACCCAATTATAAAAAGCACTAAATTACGACAAAAACAACAAAAGTGTTGTTCTTGACGATCAAATTAAACTTAAACTTATAAATTAAATCAATTTAAATAAAACTTTGGATGAATTTAAGGGTCGACCGCTCACCGCAATGGATTCGAATCTCAACATAGACTTTTGATTCTTTCATGTGAGGAAGCTATCAACGTTTTTTACGGAACGTCGGTGGTTTTAATCAGGCGCCCGATTGTGCCTGAAATAATTAAATGAAGGGCACCTGATGTCTTCCTCCACCAGAAAAGCTGAATCGTCGTCTATACTGTGACGTTAAATCAAATATGAACAAATATACTTGTCGACTTTTACGGCTTCCGCACGACGAAAAGACTATTGATTTAACGATATAATAGACGATAAACAGAATTCCTAAAGAAACCCTAAAACGGAAAAAACTAGCATATGGCTGTGTATGAGTTATACAAGTATTACAGCAAACAGTACTAGTAATCACAACCTACAATTATACCCTCAAGGCACTGGAGTAAGCAGAATTCAACATTTCAGTATAAACTGGATATATTTTTTAAATTAGAAACATTTTTTTTTTCATTTTTGATGTTCATGTGTGTTTGTAAATTTGTAAAGTCAAAGCAGATCCTTTTTTCCTAGCGTATATAAAAGCATTGCTCTGATTGTCTGATTGTGATGGTATGGATACACAGGGTGTTATGATATCAATTGAAATAATCCAACAACCTTCTGACAGGTCACAAGAAGTCCATGGGAAGTGATGCATTTAGGAGGAAGAAAATAAAGTAAAAAAGAGAGAACGCGAAAAACGACAAAGGGCTTTGAGAATGTTACAGGCGCTGTTTAATTGAGACTGTTTATGGACGGTATTGGAAAGAGCAAGTTACCATCCACGCACCCTTGCACCGGGTTTAAGCAGTAGTCAATATTTAATATGACATGGTAAAATTTGGAATATTAAAAAATCCGTAATGTGTTCATACAAAAGACATTCATACATATAAAATGGGGTTAAAAGGAACCTTCAATGTGACATGTTAATGTCATTCAATGAAAAAGTGGAGTATGGTCCCCAAGTTAAAATGGTTTGCCCTTAAAGAGAAAACAATGGGCGGATCAGAGTTTATGAAGCCGGCATATCACTATACTCAGAAGACGCCAAATTTCGCGCGAAATATTTGCCATGTCATTGAATTGTTTAATAAGTGATTATAACTATGTGACTTGGAGTATTGGTAAAT